GCCCCGTAACAATTCATTATTTACCTACGTGAAGTCATTTAAGGTTGGAAATTGACTTTGACATTGTTTTAATATTTGTGTTAAAATGTTTGTACAGATTTTATTTACAATAAGCTTTAACTAATCGACATCTCATAACAACGTGTTAGCGGTATTCCATTATGTAAACATTCCAAAAGAAATTGAGATAATAGAACCTCAAACGTTTGTTGATTTATTTATCCAGAAAACACTTGGCAATTATGTTGTACACCAAGCCTTTTAAGATGGAATGTTTTCCTTTGTTTGCTCAATCGAGGATGATATCAGGCTACTTGAAGTGTGCAGCATCAACTGCTCTCGCGACGAAGGATAAATCTCTTCGTCAAGAAATTATTGTCCTAAGGACGATTGCTTAAATAAGATTGATATCAGACTAACAAGAAATAAAAATCAGTATAATCACTATGTTATATCTGTATTTCAAACAGGCTGCTTTGATAAAACTTGGCGTGTTTACATAAAATCATGAACTGTGACATGGGATAACTTAAATAGCAGCGTCTCTTAAGAATACAGAATGGCTCATAAACCAATCTTTAAGAGAATGATATCAAATAGTTGAGTTGAACGTGCGACGCGCGAGGCTTCCGCGTTTGGTTCCTACGGCTTGATGACGCGCGTGACCAACTTGCGCGTGACCGTCGCGCGCGATTAACCGGCGATGCGCGAAGCGACTCGAGGGAGACAGAAGAGCTACCTCTTGCAAGTCGCCTTGAGCAGAGTTAAACATCAGAGAACGAAAGGCTCACAGAATTTCAGTGTTGTGGATTGTTTCTTCTAAGAGGATGCACAACAGACCAGTCTTTTACAATTGCCATCGACTAAACTGACTTATAATAACTAGAAGAGGACCGCTGCATGAATTTATCTGATGTTATCTAAACTGCACATGGATTTAACTTCAATATGCGACAATGAGTATTCCTCTACGGGTGGGTTGTCTTTTCTGGTTTAATTCGTTAACGATCACAGTTGACATGCTAACCACTTTCACCAGAACGAGCAGAAACGTCTCACTATGGCTTAAGACTTTGTACAGTGTAGGGTCATCGGATAACATCGAGAGTACCAAATGAAAAAACAAAAATTCAAGTGCGGATCCTAAAAATTAATGTCGAGGGAACCAAGAATATGTAATGCTAGTGAAGTACTACCGAAATCCATACTGACGTTACAATATATGTTCTCAAAATATCTTCAGCTACAAGAGAAAAAAAAAAAACTAATAATCCTATAGAGAAGGGGGAGGGGATGGGACCCGCTTTTGACAAATGAAAACCGCGAACATACGCTTTAATCGGGATTCCTATCAATCTTAATTAAATACTTTTTTTTCCCTTCACACCTTGACAACGAGGTTGGAGTCGTTGGATCCCTATCAGTACCAAAAGCGCAATACGTCAATGTTTCATTCAGGAAGTTTGATTCCTCACAATGACTCAGAGTTATTCTCTGTCACAATTTGTACGCTGTCGCTAAATTGCCATTTTTGTGCTGCGATCTTTTCCATTTACAATAGTTTCTTAGTTTCCTATCTGTCATTATTTATTTGTGTTTCTTTTCTCTTTAACAGTTCCATTCAATGTTCCCTTACGTATTAAAATATCTGTTTCATTCGAGTGGCAACGTTTGCTTTACAACAACCTCAATGTTTATCCGCTTTGAAATGTGTTAACAAAAAGCCTCCACAGAACTCAGTCAACGTAATTCGGAAACGATGAAGGGCGCTTCTATTTCGTAAATATTTGCCTAGCACGTTGGAAAAACAAAGCCAGAGTGTTTCGTCTAGACACTTTGTTTCTGTCGTTAGAAAAAGAACAAGAAAAAGCCTGTTCCTCAGGCTGGAGAGGCCAATAAATAAGGATAGAATCTCAATTTTTCTTGTCTAGCAATCAACTTTATCCAGTACATATTTAACACCTCAAGTATAGTTTGAATTCAGACAGTCATTTATGGAATTTTTGAATAACGCCTCTCTCACTGATGCCTCACTGATGTGAGTGATCGATTGATTCACTTCCAAAAAAATCTCTTGACAGGCAGTTGGATTTCCATATTTATCATTATTTTGTTAACGCTTGGCTGCTATTTTGTTCAATCATTATCAGTCTGTTTTTGCTGAAAGCAAGAAAACAAAAACAGTCATCCTTGCAACTAAATATGAGTTATTTTGGCATATTTCACATAATAACAATATGGCAGTCTAAGTGTGTTTCTCAATTTCATCGCCGTACTGATTGAATTTTAAATGATTCAAAACGTTTTCGAGATTGTCTCAGCGTTCTTTTAAAGATAAAGAGTTTGTTTAATATATTCTATTATTTTGAAAGCAAGGCCTGATAGCGTTTATAATTGTTCTGGACAGTCATGTTTCCTTACAAGAGCAGATCGGAGTACGGCGGCAAAGCAAATGCTCCACTCCTCAGTACCGCCGTTTTCAAAACAGAACGTTAGAGCAAGCTGGAATTTTATGCTAAACTGGAAGGAAAACCCTGCCTTGCTGATGCCTCGAATTCCTGTAATTCAAATTAGTAAAAACAAAAATTGTTGAATGGTAACTTGGGATAATGTTGGGCCGGAAAAATGTAATTAATGCTTTATTGGAGATAACTTATGGAAACCTTTCTCTTATTTTGATAGCTTATCATTCTCAATTCTAAGTGTTTAAGCAATTTCTATAGGCGGGCGACAATAGCTATATTTAAAAGTAAATTAATCAAGGTTTTAGAAAACACTCGTGTCCTTTTAGCTAGACAAAAGAACACGAGTCGTTTGTGTTCCGCTTCGCCAAATTTGTAACGGAAAAAATGATTCCTGAATCTTCGATTGGCACTTAAAGGTTACTTATTTCAGTCGTTTTTTCGGCTTCGCAAAGCTTTCTTTATTGCTAGGGAGATCATGGTATACTAGTGCGGGAAGATAAAAAAGAAGACACAAAACAAAACAAACAAACGACGCAACTATTAACCAACAGAGAACAAAGATGGCAAACAAAGTGGAAGATTGAAACAAATTGCAAATGGAGTTGACAAGTCAGCCTTACTTTTAATTAAATTCATCACTGTAATGAAATTGTTAAGAGTTTAAACCGTTCTTGTTGTCACCGCATTAACTGTTGAGAACATTATCGAAGCTGTTTGCAAACAAGCGCTTTAGGCTATTTACACCGCGTGTAATAGACACCTGACCAGAACGGTGTTTTACAAAGAAAGAGACCTGTTTGGCGCTACCCCGGAATCATGCAACAATTAACAACAGAATGAACAGATGACGGCAAAATGACCGGCAAAATGTCGCCTGGATGACAATTCCGTTACCGCCCTCCTACCGAGGCCAAGTGAGCTGTAACGAACCTTATTGTTCAATTGTTGTGCCTCCGTGGGAATCAAACTTGTACAACAGCCAAAACATTTTGCGCAAAAGACAGCATGTCGCAAGTTGAACAATTTATTTTTCGTCACCCACTGAGCGAAAGTGGCTGGTCTACGTGCCGAATTGTTCTCCGCCTGTTAGATAAGTCACTTGTTGCCGACCAACTGAGTCAGCCAAGTTCCTTTGCGGATTTCCGACAATATGGTCTGATACATGTGGGCCCCATGTTTTGAATTATTAACACACTTCTAAAATGTTCATTTCCTGAAAGAGACGGAAAATAATGAACTTTCTGAGTGATCAAGTAGAGCTCCTGAACATGATATACAAAATTGCTCAAAGAAATCTTTCCATCCAAATTAGTTGCAAATAAATAAAGCAAGTTTCATCCAACGAATGCGATAAGCCCTAAGCGAACTCACACTAGGTTCGAGTGTTTTCTGTCCCTACAATTTCTTTTGATGAACAGATTGTGGTGAATTGCCGAACTACACAGCTACAAGTTTATGTTTCACTACATTATAAACACACTTTTAAACAATTACATCTTTGTCCCTCCACTCTTTCTACTACATTCGTATCATCACACCACACAGCCAAGCGAGTGACGTAAAAAAAGCATTTAATAAGAAACAGTGACCGTAAATAATCATAAAAATAAATAATAAACATCACTAGAAACTAGTACCTAACAAATGTATGTCTCTCACGAGGAGGTGAAAACCAATCTTGGATACTACTTTACAAGGGTCTATAAATAACTTTTTCCTTAACCCTTTACACACTAATATCAGTATGCATATTCTCCATACTGTTCTCTATACATTTCCTAAGGCGCTGACAAGGAGAATTAGCTTAACGATCCAGAACCTCTGTAGTTGTTGATCATTTCCATTATTCTCCTAACCTTAGTGTGTGATTTAGGAGAGATATTGTGAGGAGAGATTAGAAACTAGTCACTCTCAGGGGTTAAACTACTGCTGCTGTAATAAGCGGCTGTACCCGCCGAGGAAACGGCCGTCACGTAAAACCAAGCCCGCAGGTTCAAAAGACGGTGGTAAGAATGCTTGTAGGCGGCGGTCCACAAGCTGGCTTTTGTTGAAACAGTGAATTATTAACAATGACATTGGTGGAAAGAGTGAGTGGAGTTTAAGTCGATTCGTAGTCATGAAAGTGTTGAACAAGATCGAGCGGAGAAACATGAATTCGATTGGTTCATTACGGACGGAATTTAACTATTCAAAGTCCTGAAAACAACTTACCGAAGCGATAATAAAATTTCAAGGTACCTACATGTCCATATCGCTATTTACATACAGTTTGCCTTTTTCCACGCGCGAAAATAACGTACTCGAAAAGTGCTCCGAACAATTCAGCTCAAAAGCAACTGAGTTTAGCTACAGGAGTATCTAGATAAGGCCATTGATAGGACATGTATGTGCGTTTGCAAGTAAGGATGTTAAAGCTTCTTAGTTCTTTGATAGGTCATAAAAAAGTCTTCCAAGAAGAACGACGGTTAGTTTAACCGGGTATACCATTGACCAGGAACACTTTGGAGGATGAACCGGCGCTGCGACTGCTCAATGAGTACAACTAAAACGAGAGAAAGACACAAGGACGTTATGCGAACCCACAAAAGACCAGGGAAACAGTAAAGGAAAACACTTGAAGGATAAGTTTCTTATTCGAGTCACTAACTTCCTATCCTTATGAGAGAGTGGTAAAAGATAACTAGACACAATTTTAACAATACCGCATAAAATCGACGAAGCTTACGCCACTTTTTTTTTTAACTTTTAGTAGATTACCACTATTAAGCAATTTTTTGCGTTAACCCTCGCACCCTCAACCAGCGGAGAGTGAGCTACACCGTTATGAAGAAAACGAAAATGCGTCTTGAAAATAAAGACTGCATGCAGTATTTACGAAAAGGACAAAAAGTTTTGTATCGACCTTCAAAGATCATACGATGAAACAGGCAAAAGTGTTCCGGACACACCCTTTCATCTTGAATTCCTTAAGATATTAGAGTTTTCAATTACTTTTTCTATGAGTGACTGCTGAGAGAGCCTGGTCGCAAGGTAAACAGCCGGTGGTAGATAGCCTACGTGTAGCTGTACTCTCCCCCAGAAGGGGAAACGTGTCCCATCCCCTTGGGAGAGAGGGTACGGCTACATGTAGACTAGGTGGTAGACAGCCGGTTAGCGACTTTTATTGAAACCCCAGAGATACACAAATAATACCAGGTACCCCGAGAGGCTGAGCCGGGTTGATTGACTCCCCATTAACACTAATCGTGATTTAACTAAAAATATCAGGAGACGTGTTGCTGAAGATCGCGCTTCAAAACATCAGGCCCAGCAATGCATGATTTCTAAGCTGTCAAGGTTTACTTAAATTAAAAAGCTGTCTCTTTAGTCTTACCTTCCGCCCTTTAGTTTCGATACCACGCAAGAAAATGGGATGTCTGTACAACGCATGCGCGTACATGGCCTCCCTGAACTCCTGAGCTACGGCATTCTGTGCCCATTCTGCTCTCTTGTAAGATTCATTTTTCTACCACAAAAATTGGAAAATGTAATAAGAATTTTTAAAAGTTAACTCTTAGCTTACTCGTCAAGTAGGTCATGTGGACTCCACTTGAACCCTGCCCATCCTTAGAGACACTACTTGCCGATTACTGATATCTCCATCTTATAAAACGGTCATATTGTATTGTCTCTTCACCATGAAGGAAGTTTGACAGAGCGTAAAAAAAAGAAAACTAGACCCGAAATACCAGAAAGTGGTTACTGTAAAATCGTGTGTCATGTGACAGAAATTGGACCTGCAAGAAAATCTCTTCGAAGAACCGAAGATGAGCCATATTCAAGTTTTGCATGTGAACCGCGTAGGTCCTGGAGCCTAGACACCAAATACGTTTCGCACCACCCCCCACCTAATCAAACCTTTCAATTCGACCAGCAATTTTTAAACTGAAATGAATAAAGGTTCTTGTTGATCAACTTTAAAAATTAAAACGGATTCTGTTCGATTAAAGATTAATCTACCATTCACCGCGCGTGACAATTTGGAATGTAAGTAGGATTTTTTTTTTTAACAAAATCGCTATTGAAAATAGCTTTTAAACTGAAAATGACCGAATTTTGGGCATAGTCCTTCTAATCGTTAAATGTTTCGTATTATCAGTTTGTATCGATGGTACATCTTTAATCTTCAAACATTCGTGCGTGAAAGCCGAACTTTGCTCTTTTGCACCTCAGAAGAGCGAGTTTTAGGAAGCCCGGCAGCTAGCCAATTTTAAGCCCATTCTTCTCTAATTTGGAGCAAAGACGCCTTTAAATTTGCCTCCTCAAACCAATCATAGATCGTCATTACACTAAACCAACGCAAACCAGATTTACTTCCGACAATTCATGGAAATTGTTCCAGGAAGACAAAGTTTATCTTTAAATTCTCTACATGCGAAGGACGCAAAACTAATTATCTCAGTTACCAGATCAGCTAGAGGGTATCGTTTTCTGATTGGCTCATCCAAGTCTAAGTACTTGAGCTCTATGTTGACTTGTCCAAGTGAATTGTTGCTACCAACAGTTTCCTTGTCGAAAATGTGAAACAGCACAGCCCTGCAGACAAAACGAAAAAAAACAAGAGCGGAAACAGCAGTGAATTGCAATTACATGTCCACCACCATAACGTTTCCGGCAAAAAACTAACTTTGAACTATAGAACTTGGTTAACTTTTTAAAAGTACAATTGCGGAGATCTAGGACATGCAGAGAATTTAAACAGCGAATATACACCCCACTCACCGTCCACTCTAACTCTAAATAAAACATGTGATTGCGAGCTCGTAACGTTCCCTCGCCCTAAAAGGACTCCGTTTCTGCAGGCTAGGATTGACGTCCACGTACATACAAGTAACTTTGGCTAGGATTCTAAATTTTGTATTCTTAATTCTAGGATTAGGATTCTAAATTTTGTATAGCTCTCCTTTCCCACTAGCGATGAATTATGTTATACAAGGAATTAAAAATAACATACACACTAAGTTACCTCGACGAAAACTCCTCAGGCGGAACAGTGAATTCAAATGTTTCTTCAAATTCTGGAAACAACGTACCACTAATAACCTGTAGTTAAAAGGCACAATATTTGTGAGATTGGGGATTTTCATACAAGAGCCACTGAAAGAGGGAGTTGCGGAAAACAGTAAAGCCTTGTTTAGCTTGAGAAGCAGACAATTTACAGCGCTCAATTTTCAGAACAACTGAATTATTCAATCGCTTTTTCTTTTAATAGCTCAATCATAAAAAGGAGGTATACACAAGGGCTTATTTCATTCAGAAGTTTAAAATGGGGCGCAACTGACTGATGATACCAACTTTTGGTTTCTTGTAAGTTTTTGACGAGTGGTTGATTTGTGTTGATAAACACCTTAGAAGAGTTGTCTAAGAAAACTTACTTTGTAATATGTGACTCAGTAGATCACATCAAAATATTATTTAGAAAAATGTTGAGTGAATTAATTGAATAAGTACGACATTGAAACGGATCAAAGCCTAGAAATCTTTTCTGAGAAGGAGTAGTGCTCGTTGGAGAAGGAAGCTTGAAGAAGAGGAGGCTCAGGAGCATGTTCAAAAGTATATATACAGGTATAATAAACTAAAAAATTCAATGTGACCCTTTGACTCCCAGAAGTGATTAACATGAAACTTCTTCCGATGATAATACATAGACTGTCCAGCAAACAAAGTTATTATTCCAATCTAACACCAAATTCTCATGACTAATTTACAAGGAAATGTGTAGCAGCTAGAGGGGAGAATTGACAGTCAGATCTTAGGAGTTAAAGGGTTCAGTGATTTAGCAGCTCTGTTCTAACTGGGGACTGTGAAGAGGAGTAGATACAACACAAAATCATTAAAAAAATCCTCAATGGCTGGGAAGTTACCCAGTTGGCTTTTTAAAGATCAAACACACACCTCAGTTTCATATTGAAAACTAGTTCCAGAAATTGCAC